GAAAATATCCAAGAAAAAAAGGCAAGAGAACGGGTGGAAAATGAGCAAAAACAAAATAAGAACTTCAGCCCATGCAATAGTCAGGTTTCTCCACAAAAGCAAGGACAATGGAAATTTATTAAGGGGAGCCGAGAAATCTCACAATATCCTGAAGATCAGGAAAGTGCAGCCCTGGGTGTAACCCAGTTTGTATCCAGAGGCCTGAAAACCCAAGGAGCCACTGGTCTAAATCTTCAAGTCAGAAGGCCCAAGAATCCGAAGCTTCAGGTTTCCCGGGCAGAAGGTTGACGTCCAGCTCAAGAAGAGAATTCAACTTCCCTTCACCTTTGAATTGGATTCTACCAATGATTCCTACCCACGATGATATAGGTGGATTTTATTTATTCTGTTTAGTGATCCGAATACCAAATCTCTCTGGAAACACTCTCACTAACACACCCAGAAACTATGTTTTAACAGATATCTAGGCATTTCTAAACCCAGTCAATCTGATACATAAAATTAGCCATCCCAATATCCAAATAATAAGAATCCCAGAAAAAGAGAATGAAAGAAAATGGCATAGGAGCAGATTTCCTAGAAAATTTCCCTACTTTATGTTTTAAATTGAAGGAAATAAATTTTCATATTGAAAGGATCCTCCCAACATCTGGCACACTGTACAAATGAGCCCCACCAAAACCACTGTGACATTTCAGATCCCATGAGGTAAGGAAACCACGGAACTGCAAGACCCAGGAATGGAACTGGGGTGAAACCAGTAAGAATGATGAGAAGAGCAATGCTGGAGAGGAGGGGGCTGTAGGGCCCCGCGTTCTGACCCACGGCCTAGCAAGTGCCCAGTACAGATGGTTCTCTGCTAAAGGGATGGAAGGTCAGATGAATGGCCCACCAGCTGCCTCAAAGTCTCCAAGGAATCTTGCCTCCAAACAAAGGCAAGATCACAAACTTAGGAGAGGTCATCTCAGTAAATATGTCAAATGACGTTTAAAATGACTTTTGTATGGTAAGTAGAATTTCAACAAGCCCATGCTGGGGAGCAATATGAATAGAGGTTTCATGGGCAAAAAACAGGCAAGTCAGGGAGCCTACCTGGTCCAGGGTGGCTGCTGTGGAGGGATGTTAACAGGAGGCAGACAGCAAAGGAGGTGGCTGGGAGGTGGTGGAGGCTGGCCTTAGAGCAGCACGGCAAGGTGTACAAAACCGGACAGGAGAGTAGATCCTACCCAGCTCCCTGAGATTCCACCTGCCTTTAGTATCCTGTGTGCATGTGTGTGTGTGTGTGTGTGAGAGAGAGAGAGAGAGAGAGAGAGAGAAAGAGAGACAGAGACAGAGACAGAGACAGAGACAGAGACAGACAGAGAGAATGAACTATAAAATCAGGGTCATTTAGAACAGATTGCTGGACCAAACACAATGCATGATTTCTGTACATAATCTTGATTCTTGTCCTAAAGATACTCAGATGCCAGCGGGAAGCAGACGTATCCATCTCAGTAATTGAAGAAAATAAGCCAAAGTAAAGAAGTGGGTGAAGAACCAATATGGACACAATCAGTCTCACATTCTGCTGTGAGAAACACCTAGGACTCTTAGCATCAGAGATGATAAGGAAGTGCTGAACCTCGGGAGAGGAGACAAAGTAGCCGCCATGGAGAGAGATCACTTGTAAAGCCCTTGCCAGTGGTGTGTCTGTGCTATGTATCATTGCTGGTATCTGTTTTAAGATATTCCTTAAACGGGAAAACTGAGGGTGCAGTGATCTTCCCTCATCTTCCAGGCAAGAGACTAATGATTTTACTCAATGATGCTCAGCACACAACTCTAGGTGTATCTGAAAATCTGGGCAGACTATAAAAATCCTCAGTGTGACTCAGGCAGTGTGTCGCACTAAAGATCAACAGCCTTTTTACAGCGGCAGTTATCACCTATCAGATCAACAATTCTTATCCCATCACAATTTTAAAATGAAAAGATTTTATGGAACTAATGAGCTACTCTGCTCCATTGGGCCATAATTTGCAGTTTTAAGTATCTATATTCACAAGCACAGGGTAAACAGAACCTCACCAGCACCATTGTTCTTGACTTTGTGATAATTAATGAGCATTTTTCAAATGATCTGAATCTCTATTTAAATGATTTATATAATAGACCTTCAGAGCTGCCGTTACAATCTATCACATTGCAATGAAGGAACTTAGGTGTGTTTATTACCAATTTATAGAGAAGATGGAAGACTAGGGGTGATAAAACTTTTATTGTCTCTTGATTTCCTTAAAGTCCTAACATTTGTGATTGGAATAAACAGAACACATCTTCACACATGTGACACGCATAGTCTGAAGCCAAGAGTATTTTATTCTGGGTGCTGGCCAGTCCCTTGTGATTTATGGCATTATTTCATTACAAATTGCTGTAAGGACAACCATTGCTCACCCACAAGGTGGTGTACATTTACTCATAAATTTTCACGAATGAGACAATGTGTGTGTCAGGAATGATAAAATACTGTTTACTTTTCCCTTCTCTAATCCTTTTAAAACAAAAGGGTATTTAAGGAAATAGAGGCTTAGGATTCCAGCCTAAGAAAAGGAAAGTTACCCAAGCTAGTACGCATGTATATTAGCATCCTCAAAGCAAAGACACAGACAAGGAACACTCATCACATGCTCTACCAAAGTAGCTAAAATTCCAGAGTAATAGAGTTCTTGGAGAAATATAAGCTCCTCTAGGGTTAAGATCAAGTCTCAGTTAAGTTCCACATGCCTTAAGTCTATTAAGTTCTGTGCCCAACAAATAGTTATTCAATAAATATAAAATTTTAATCAATCTACATAATAGATTAATTGTGCAATCTATAATTGAGAAATAAACCATTATTCAAGAAAATGTTATTTTAAATAGGAAAGTCATTTGCAATTACAAGATGCTTGTAATATGATCTAAGCCCCTGAGTACAATATCATTTTGCATCCTTATATTCTAATCTTCTACATTTCTTAAATATTGTAATATACAAAATAATATCTTGTCTGACACATTTTGAGAGAATATAAAAAAAACCTTTATAACATTGAGAATGTTATATAATGATTAACACACACCATACAGTATTTCCTAATTCAAAAAGTTTGATTTATGAAATACGGATTTCTTTGATACATGGAAGTTTCTTTTAGGTTGGGTTGGGTTGGTTTGTTTTGGTTTGGTTTTTTAAGACAAGGTCTTGCTATGTAAGGCTGGCCTTAACTTACTGTGTAGCCCAGGCTGGCTTCAAACACAAAGCAATCCTCTTGCCTCGGCCTCCCAAGTGCTCAGATTACAGGTATGCATCCCCATACCCAGACGTGGAAGTCTTTCTCACCAGTATTTTTGCTTCTGTGGAGCTGATAACTGCATGATTAAATATGCCAAGTTAGCAATTACTGGTTGGTTATATTACATATAGATTCACTCTGGTCTGTGAGAGTCTCAGTGATGTTTTGAATGTGTCCCTCAAAGTTCTTAGGTTGGAAATTTAATCCCCAAGACAAGAACGTTGATAGAGCGAGACCTTTAAGAGGTAATTAGCATGATAGCTCTGCTTTCATTAATGGATCAGTTATGGTGGGAATGGGCTAATTATTGTACAATTGTGTTCATGATATGAGTTTGGCTCTACTGATCTGTCCCATCCTGTCTCTTTCTGTTTGTCTGTCTCTTTGTCTCACCTATCTGATGCTCTCTTGTCCTGTAATGCCTTCTGCCATATGACATCAGATGCAGCTCCTAAATTTTGGACATTTCAGATCTCAGACTCCAGAACCACGAGAAACTAATCCTTTCTTTGTAATTACCTAGTCTAAAAGGAAGTAAGACACCTTCAAAGCATTTTTTTCATGAAACAACTAAATTTCTTACAACTTATATCTCCCTTTAGAATTCAGTTGTTCTTTGCTCTAGAATATTTTTCAAAGTTTTTGATCAAACCTTAATAAAAACGTCAACTTTATTATGTTTGCATGTCTGAAAATGCATTTTTCTATCATCTCATTTTTCCTTATAATTCAAGAATAATTTATTTACAGTAAACATCTAAGTTTAATTAGCTATAATACTCATAAAACTTGCACCACAATTATTTCCATCATGCCCAAAAGATTTTTGTCACTATTTTCAGCCCATCTCTTCCTCCATCCCAGCTGTAGGCAACACAGATCTGCTGTTTATCACTACGGATCAACCCACAGTTTATGTAAACAATACAGTATGCGCTCTTTTGTACGTGGCTTTATCTTGATTATTTTTATCTGTATTATGAATGCTTTAGAGATTTATGTTGCTGTATATCTCAGTAGTTTTTACTGAGTACTTTTACTGCTGAGTACTATTTTACATGTTGCTTACTTATCAGTTGCTGGATATTTTGGATCATTTCTAGGCATTATAATCGAGACCATTATGAACATTTTTGCATAAATATTACTGTGGACACATTCTTTCATTAATTTATGATAAGCACCCAACTGTGAAATTCCTGGATCAGATGGCAAGTATGGTTCAATTTTTAAAGAACTAGCAAATTTCCAAAGTGATTGTACATTTTATACTCATAAGAGCACTTTCTGAGGGTTTTTCTTGTCCTACAATTTTCCCGACAGTTGGGGTATTCAGTCTTATAACTTCAGTCTTTTTCAATCTAGTGAGTAAACAGTGGCTGTTCTGTGTGGTTTTATTTTTGGCTTTCCATGATGGATAATCATATTAATCTTTTTATATGTTTATTGGTCATTTTATTCATCCTTTTGAAAGTTTTGTTCAAATATTTTATCTACTTTGAATTGGGTTTTCATTATTAAATTATAAGAATTCTTTGTATGTTCTAGAAGCAAGCCCTTTGTCAGACACACACACAACAAATATTTTCCTTCATTCTGTAGCTTTTTATTTTCTTAATAGTTTTTGAGGGCAAAAGTTTTTAATTTTGAAAACAATTCAACTTAATTTTTTTTCATGGTTCATATTTATTTGTGTCCCGAGAAATTTTATCTGTTTTATTTTATTTAAAGGGGAAAAAAAACAATAAAAGCAAAAGAGACAAACAACAACAACAAACCCAAAACAGTAACAATATAGGCTTTCAAAAAGATTTATCTTCCTTAAGTTCACGAAAGTTTTCCGTTTTATTTGTGTAGTTTTAGCTTCGCTGTTTAGGTAGATGATCCAGCTCTGTCTTGTCACACGCTGCAGAATGTCCTGCCAGAAGCACATGACTGTCATAGGCAGCTGGGACCATTTGCTTCCTTTTGGCAGGTGTTTTTTGTTTTGCTTTTTTTCCCCCTTTTTGTCTGAAAGAGTGACTGAACCCCTGCATATATCTCGCTTCATAGCTGTTTTCCCTCTACATCTTTAAGATCTTACTCCATCATCTGCCGGCTCATGTGACTGATGAAAACTCTGCTACCAGTGTGACCGCCGTGCCTTGGTAAGCTGATTTGTCACTGATAATTTTCTCTCTTTAGTCCTGCCATTCTGTAGTTTCGCAAAACTGTTTATGAAAGCCAAAGTTTGTTTTGTTTTTATCTTTCTCTCTGCTGTGCTTAACAAAATGCCCTTTTCATGCCAGGATTCAGGTTTACCTTTAATTTTAGAAAAGTATGAGCTTACATCTTTCAAACATTGCTTCTCTGCTTTGCTTGCTGTTGTCTTTTAGAAATGTCTATCATAACAGCTTGTCATTTCTCAACCTGCCCTCCATAAATTTTGTTTCAGATTTCCTTTTCTTTCCCTCTCATCAGATCATTCCAGGAGAGAGGCAAAGTTCTGGCTTCCTTCTCTATCTCAAGAACATACAGTTCACTACATCACTTAAAAAGTTTGCTTTTTCACTTGATTGCATGTTTTTCATTTCCAACATTTCTGATTTTTATTTATATCCATCTCTTCTTAATACATTTACCACTTAATTCACGTTTTATCATTGTTTATCATGCATTATTGAAAATTGTAAATGTGGGGCTGGGGATTTAGCTCAGTGGCATAAGCGCCTGCCTTGCAATCAGGCAGTCGTGAGTTCGATCCCTGGTACGATAAAAATTAAAAAGACAAAAAAAAAAAAGAAAGAAAGAAAGAAAGAAAATTGTAAATGTATTTATTTCAAAGTAATTTTCAGAGTCTCTAGTATTTATAGTTTCCAGGGATGAATTCTTCTCATTTTGTTTGAGAGCTCATATTTCATGGGCATGGCCCACCCAACAGCCATTCCCATTTCTGTAATAAAAGTTCAGTTTTACCATAGGTGGCAACAAATGTGTCACGCCAGTAGACAGTTGTGACCATTTGTTTCCCTTTGCCAGACTTTCAGTGTCCCTGCCTCCTATGAAGACAAGAGTAGGGGACATGTGACTCAGTCCAGCCTCACAAGATGTAATGGAGATTTTGCTTGGCAGCTTCTGGAAAGGGAGGAGCTGTGATACTTGGAGCTGCAGCAGCCACCTTATGACCCTAACGCATGAACCACAAATTCAGCAAAAAAGAGAATGTTGGAGAGAGCCCAGATCCTTGGTGGTGGTATTGAGTACCAGCTCTAGAATTCTTATTATTCAAAAAATAATAATAAACATCAGGGATCTGTGCCACAATTTCCATACTAAAATTCCCAACTGATACAGGGAGTTGTCCCTTCCCCAGCCTGAGATGCCTCTGCCTGATTTCTTGGAGGCCTGCAGCTTAGAACTATGGTGTCACCCTTTCAGGTCTTCCTTGTTCTCAACCCTAACCATGACAGACTGTGCTCTGCCTCCCAGTCCTGTGGGCGCCTCGCTTCTACCCTCTGCCTCTGGTCAGCAGCCTGTCACGTGCTGACACCTAAAGCAAGTTGGTTGGAATCTTCTTAGCTTCCCTGCTACCAGGCAGAGACCAAATGCCCAACCCTTGATCCAGGATGGGACCCTACTACGGGAGACTCACCCCTTGCTCCTGGGACCACTCTCAGTTCAGAATTCCAGAGCCCAGACTCTTTCCTCTCAGCTCCACAGGCCTCCAGCCTCAGCCAGTGTTTTGCTGTGGGACTGTCTCGGCTCTGTCCTCACATTTGCGTCTTTTCTGGAAGACAGTCGTGCTGGTCTACCTTGTGTTTCCAACGTGTTCCTAATTCCTGCATGCTGGGAACAGAGGAAAGTATCTGAGCTGCTTACTTTGATCTCTTGCCCACACCAGTGCATTGTTGAGCGGTGGTACAGCCTTGATGTCTTTGGGCTCCTTTCAGATACACTTACTCTTGTAAAAATTTGGAAACACAAAGAAACGGAAACATAAAAACCAATACAGACTCACTGGCTGTTAACATGTTGATATATTTCTTTCTAGTCTTTTTTCTATCGATTTCTACAAGTAAACTCTTTCATAAAATTGTGGTACTACTGGAAAAAGCAGAATTGTATCCTGCCTTTTTACTTAAAATGTTACTGTATAAATGTTTTCATACAGATGATATATAGATATATCACAGATCTACCACAATTTCCCTGCTCCCCTATTATAGAGATTTTAATTTGTAGCTACTATACATAATGTTGTATGATAAATATTTCAAAATTTCCTTAGGAAAAAGTCCTAGAAGCAGGATTACTTAGACAAAAGATATAAACATTTAAATACATATATATACACACATATATCTACATATTGCCAAAGCACTCTCCCAACAAATGTTCATTCTCACAAGCTCTGAGTATAATAATGTTTAAACTTGCCAATTTGATAGGCAAAAAAGTCTCAGCGTTCTTTAATTTACATTTCTTTGATACTCTAAGTTCGAACATTTTTCATATGGTAATTAGCCATTTGTCTTTTCTCCCAGTGCATTTTAAATAAGATTGTATTTACTTACAACTTTGCAGAGACAGTTATTTCACAAATCAAATCAAAATCTTTTTATGCACAGTAAATGTATAACGCCACCTCTGAAGAGTTCATATAGATATCAATTTTATAATGGATATCTCTCCTTTGCAAGCTAAAATGTCATCTTCACTTCAGATCCAACTTCTAGTTGTCTTTTCTAATCTATATTTGGGCAACTTACAATCAAAAATATGGGAGTATAGAGCAGACATGTAAACTCAAGTGATCAAATTTTGTATATGTGTATGACTATATGCAATTATTTTATGTATATATGTATATACAAATGAATAATTTACCATATATTTTTAATCTGTAAACACCAATGTAATTATGGACCCCCATAACCTCTGATCATGTACAAACTTGTCTTTTAAGTCCACTAAAAACTGCAATTGAGACATCTCTTTGGAAATTTTACCATTTTATCTCATAAACTTCAAATCAAATTAAGTTGTAATTTAGAATGGATGAAAGACAACCGCTATGTGGTTGACTGAAGAGTTGCTCCTTCATATTCTCAAAGCTATAAGTAGCAGTAAATCATATTTCAGAAAACTAGAATAATGAAGTCTGGAAAGAGATGGTTAGAGGGAAAATGAGTCAGGTTGAAGGTGGAGCTGGGAGGAAACAAGGCACTCCTCTGCAGAGAGGTGCCAGAAAGAGCTTCCTCGGAGGAAGACAGTGGAAGAAACAGCAACCTACTAGGGGCCTGGGAGGACCCTTGCACATGGTGCTGAATTTCTCTGCAGATAATGAAACAATGATACAGTGACCACCTCATTCTTACCTCCAGGATTTAATAACATACATAAAGGAACTCTGCACCATGCAGCCTGTGTGTGAGGTGCTCAGCAGTTGTGACTTATTAACAATGCCAAAGCAGGACATCCAGGGGGATGTCAAGTAATAGTAACAATCATGGAAAAGGCGAGGGACAACATGGAGCAGGTGCACAAGATCCAGGCCCACAGGAGGGGAGGTGGATGACAGGGCTATGGTAGTTAATTGACTAATTGGCAATATGAGTGGGAACACCTAGCTGATTTGAGTCAGCATGATATAAAAGAAGAAATGGGGGAAGGATTTCAGCTGATCTTCCTTGGAAGAATTTCTTTGCAGCTGCTTTTCTTCAGAAGAGTTTCTGTGATTTTTCTTTGAAGGAACTTTGGCTGCTTTCTTTCTTTGAGGAAGCTTTAATGCTCGTTTTCATCTTGAACACTGTCTCCAGGTTTCCGGTGCAGATCCCTCACCCTTGTGGCTCAGAACCTTCAGTGTCTAGCACTAGCCCTTGGGCCTTTCAGCACAGATCTCTAATCTCCCATTGAGAATCCTTTGGCTTTCTGATTCAGACTTGCACAGGACATTGCGATGGGCTCCAAGTGCTTGACTGGATCCTTTGGGTCTCCAGCACACAGACAGACATCTTGCACTCTTCTACATCTAACTCTGGTAAACACTGACTAATAGAAGGATCAAGGCTGACAACTGCAAAAGAGCATTAGAGATTCCCTGGAGGCAGCTGAGACCCTGCAAGGTTGACAAGGCATGATATGATGAAAGCAAACCAGGAGACTCCCACATCTGGGATGCAAACAGAGTGTGGAGCAAACAGAGGGTACAGGAATAAAGCAGCTGGCCCAAAGTAGAGTTAAACAGGGCCTAGACATGGTGGCACCTACCTGTCATCCCAGCACTTAAGGAGGGTAAGGCAGGGGGATGGTGAGTTTTGTGAGTGTCTTTATAAGACATGATGAAAAGCACACTCAGCTGCTGAATGCCATCAGTTGCAAAGATACGTTCATAAAAACAGTGTGTCCTCACCCACTGAATTAACCAGGTGTAGTATCATGCACCTTCTGGCTCTTCACTCAACTCAAAATTACCAGGAAAAATAAATATTTTGAATATTCAGGACATGGAAGTTACCATGACAGCACAACTAAGGACTTAAAGAATCCAGCTGAGGACCTGGATCCCATGGCAGTGTCTCATGCACATCTATCTCAAGGATCTGCACTGGGAAGGCTTAAAGGACAGTGATAGAAGCTAGGAAGTCTGTGCCAGTAGGATGAAGATTCTGATCTAAAGCCAGGAAGCAACACTCAACATAAGAACCAGAGCTCTCCCAAAAAGAACCACAGCCATCCTCAGTGACCTGGGCTTCTCTGATGATGGGAACATATCAGGAAAAGCAATATGACAGCCTTCTCCAGGAGAATCAACAGCATACCATTTCTTTCTAGTTCTCTTTTATGCTGTTGGCAATAATCCTCAGGTGGGCCATCCACACCAAGTTCCACACTGATTCAGTTCACCTGTGTGTTCCAAGTTGCTCAGTTAATCCATCACAAGTCTTTTGTTTTTCCTTACTACAGTACCAAGGATGAAACCAAGGGCCTTGTGTATGCTAGGCAAGCCCTCTACCACCTACTTGCAGCTCCAGTTTAGATGCTTCTTAAATAAGGAAGAATCATGAGGGCCCAAATATGAAATGTAACTAGTTGCCTCACTTATGACATGGCATTGAGATTATTGTTCATATCATTTTGTCAAGGTAAGATATATTTATATACACACAGAGGCAGAGAAAGACTCACTGCCTAACACAGTAGGCATACAAATTATTGCTGTCTTCTCATGACTTTAATCTACTATTTTGAAATAAAGAATTTTTCATCAGAGAGCTTTGCCTACCTGTGAGGCCACTACCACACTTCCAATCTCTACTGTAGAACTCTGCACCCAATCTCAGCTCTCTCTCCTCATAAGAACTCAGGCTTGCAGCCAGAGGTCCTTAATAAATCTTTACTGGTGATGATCCATTATGTGCCATACACAGAAGCTTTAAGTGGACCTGCTTCAGTCACAAAAACAAAGACTAGAACCCCAGAAAAGAACAAACAAATGTTCTGACATCCCTCTCTGAATTTCATCCAGACTTCCCCCCAGGCACCAATTCCTTCCAGGTCATCTCTCAATACCATCTCCATCTCTATCTTCATCTTCTTGGTTCTCTAATCCCTCTTTGATGTACTTTGATTCCAAAGGTCTTCCTGCTTTTGTGGGCCCATTTTTCACATCTCTCTCTAGTTTAGTCTCCAACCTCTCCCTTGTTTGTGATTTTGGCATTCTCCCTGAGTTCTCTGATAGTGCAACCCAGATAGGCCCTGATTTCCTGCTTTCCCTTGTACAGGGGAGAAGGGACCAGATACTCATACACTTCAAGTTACTTCTGGGTATGGTTCTTCCACCACACACATAAGAACAAGTTCTACAAAGATAGAATTCAGAAGCATCTTAGACAGGCTAAAACAAGCAAGGTCTAAACTGGTAATGAGCAGACTGGGCATTGAAGCTGGAGCCAAAACACAAAACTAAGCCCAGAGATAGTTAAATGAAGAGTTATCACACACAGCCATGAGTCCAAAGATGAACTAAAATTATGAGGCTTGCCTTCAGACAAAGAACTAACCCCGCCCCAAACCCAAAGCTCTGCTTCAGGCAGAAAAACAGGTGGACCAAGGAAACGGTCCAGAAATAGATCAAAGAGGCTGAGTGCTGCAGATGCTGGGAATAGGACAAGGACCTGGTCTGGGACACAAACTAACCCTGTAAATCACACTAAGGCAATCATTTAAATACCAAACATAGAGGATGGTAGATAGCCTCAGAGATCCCAGAAAAGAAAGGAAATGATTGAGAGTAGGTATTGAGCAATAGCTACGACTCCCAGTTTAGTGGGTTGGCTGCTACAACAGGCACCAGATAGGTCATTTATAATGTGACTCCCACCTCTCAAAGTCAAGCCTGATTTCTGCAGGTTGCATGGTACTCACTGAGGCACCGGGTCCAAGTGGGCTCCAGCCTGCTCCTTGGTAGATGATTCAAGGTCCAAATGGAGGTCCCAAACGCTAGAAGCACTAGGCTTTTTCTGTGAGTCCTTTATCTCCTAAGAAGTATGAATATGAAAGGCTGGTAGGAACCTAAATAAACTAAGGTTTACCAGCTCTGTGGCCAGTGGGTAAGCACGCCCCTGTCTGAGGCTCAAGACTGCAGGTGTGGCTGACATTTGAACCTCTCAAGCCTCCTAGGGGATCTGAACCAGCAAGAAACACAATAGTAGCTTGATAAGACACAACCCTTAACTGGAGGTGAAGAGGCATGAGAGTAACCCCAAGATACCCATAATCTTGATGGTAAACTTGGTCACAAAACTCATTAAGGGACCTGTGCTTATTTTTCAGTCTAAAACTGC